ACAGAACCGGTGGTGATAACAGTGGTGTAGGTAGTTGGCGTAGAGCCAGTGGTGATGGTGGTTGTTGACAATGGTGGTTCTTCGACAATAACAGTTGCTGTTACATTTCCACTTTCAGTTGGAGTTATGGTGTAAGTTGTTCCAAATGTTTCGGTCCAAGTTGAGGTAGTAGTTACGGTATTAACTACACACTGGGAATTTTCTTGCGGAGCATAGGCTGGCATATTGCTAGAAGTTACCACAGTACCGTCTGGGTAGACAACTTGAAATTTCAAACGTGCTTGGGAACCCCAATTGATATAAAGTAATTTCATTGGATAATATCCCTCCTCTAATGTTATATCATATGTGGTTGTTCCAGCCGGAAATTGGGCAACAAGTGCAGGGGTGTATCCAGCCAGCTCGGTAACCGATTGACAACAGTCGTAATTTTCTTGTGCTCCAAAATAGAAAACAGCAGCGTCATCAACACCTGTTATGGTGAATTCGTAAGTACCGGATTGAGGTGCATAAAAATAACTAGTGATTCTTAACCCAAAACTTTGGACATTCACTATTTCACCATAAAGTGATTCGTAGACTGGGGCTGTTCCAGACGGATTGAAATAGAAAGTGAGATTTTGGACACCTTCTATAGTCAAAGATGGGGACAAAACATCCTCGAAGTCATTTTGAAGGTAATCAGCACAAACGGAAGAAGTAAGATAACTCCCGTCACCACAATCATGGTATGAAACATTGTAATATTCTACATTGAATCCAGTATTGACATTGTCTATTTCACAAGAGCCAACGTTGATAGCGCTGGCTTTCAAGCACACCAAAAGAAGTGCTATGATCAGGAAACAAAACTTCATTGATTTTAGCATTCCGGAATACATGGTTATTTATATCAAATAAAACTTGAATTATTTTGTAGTATCATTGAATTTAACAAGAGGCTATGAGCTCTCTATAATTAAATGATTACCATTTTGGGACAAAATATGACTAATTAGGAATCTTGCTGTATTCATTGTATGGGTAATTCGGATTATTGAAGATAAAAGAAATTTTGCATTCAAACCTGCACAAACGTTTTGAAATTTGTTAAATCTTTCGTGGAAATTGGCCGTTATTGAAATGGTAGAATAGAAAAAGTATTTTACCGGTTTCTCTTCTAAGAGTAGAAGAATTTTAACAGAGGAACCGCAAGCTTGCAATCAGAATAAACAGGAAGAAGTACAGTTGTGGCAGTTTATTATTCTCTTGAATTTATTTTCCTTCTATAAAAGAGCTGTTGTTGTCAGACTGTTGAGATCCCTTGAGATTCAAATAATTTATTTTTTGTGGAAAAATATTCTTCTGTTTCGAAAGAGGGATCTGGGTGGCCCAAAAAGGCAAAATGCCATGGATTTTGTGTCGGAGACTCACACGATGTCACAAGACACTCACAGCGTAAAAGCATGTGCTCCAAAGTTGTTGGACAAAATATACGATACCGGATTTGAGGCAACCTAATTGAGTTAAAATTTCCAAATAATAAATAAATCACGAAGAAGGTGAGGAAACAGGCCGTACTGACCTGATGAGGAAAAAGAGCAAGAAGAGAAAATCCCGAAACGTGTTCTTTGTTTCAGAAATAAACTTTTTTTGTCAATGAAATTGATTGAGCTTGGCCCTTATCGACTGATGTTGGTGGTTCCATGGCGCAAGATGGATTCCAATGGAATCTTCTCAGGCTGTTAAATAATTACTTAACGGATTCAATGAGAGGGATCATACTCACCTCTTAATGAGATTTACGTCCTTTAGTTACCATAAATAAGGATGAGGTGAAATTCTTTAATGGCATTATTCAAGTGGTCGATCTCAAAACAATAGAGAACCTCTTTTGGAATGGTTAAATGTGCCAATGCCAATATAATCGCCGGTCGTTTAGTTGAGATGCAGTATGCCAATTTGGCAAGTGTGATTTTCCGGGCCGCGTTTAGACGAGATATCGGGGCAATAAGGCAGAATGTTCAATAATACAATATTCTTAATCCTTAACATTATTTCTATAGAAATTGCAGTCCTTGCTTGGAATGAGACGCCCTAAGGTTTCTGAATAGAGTTCAATCAGTCGAAGAGGTCCAGCAACGCCCTGATTAAACCTTCTAAAACATTATAGCTTTTTCTGCCGTTTGGAAGTAGAGGACGTCGATTTTACGTACGGGAATAAACCACACAGGTTTCGTGTTTTCCTGCGATGCTTTTACAAGTATTTTTGCCAATGAAGTACTCAGAATTTGACATCCTGCATCCGAGATTCTCCACAGCTTGCTCATATAATCTTTATATCCGGTGGATTTATCCGCGCTGTAATTCAGTTTTGCATATTGAAGGGTTACGTCTCCCATGAATGATTCGTTGGTAATTGGAGTATGAGAAGGTTTACCCTTTTGCGTGTTGGCGTAGACATAAAAAAAAAAAATCTTCTCAAATAATTACGAGTGTTATTCAACGTGTAAAAACCTATTGAAATACCGTAAATGTTGGACGGCTTAAAAATCAGCACAGTTTGGACTTTCATTCACTATTCCGAATTCGAACCTGTGAACATTTGCAGTAACGAATAATATTCGTTGCCGAAGAAATTGATTATTCTTGAAAGTTATATTCCGTAATTTATTGGGGGCCCTCTCTATTTTTCGAGAGCCATATATTCACTTTGATGGGCTATGGGAATAAAAGAGACATTCAAGCAGAGTAGCTGTAATCGAGTTCGAAACAACGATATCGACATGTTTAGTGTCGAAACAGTTAAATAAATTAGATTAATTCCCCACTGTTACAAAATTAACAATAGCTGAAGTGAAGTTCAACTCTGTTGAATTTATTGCATTCTACCCAGTGGTATGCCCTGTGAATTTATGGTTTTCATGGTTTGGATCAATTACTTGTGGTAGTTGGTGTAAAACTTCCTGCCTCAAACTTTCGAATGTTAATCAATATTGTTTTACTTTTCATATCTATTTCTCTATAAAGTTATGAATTGACTGGAAATTAGTCCTCGTTTGCTCGAAGCTAGAGCAACCATCTATAAGTTCCTGTTTGAAAGGAATGATTGTCTTCTTCAGGTGTCGTGGGTAAGGTTTCGTTAGGTCTGCCACAAAATTCATTGATAGGAGCCAATGGGACGTTTCAAATTTTTATGAGGTTTGTTTTGAGAAAAAGCTTGATAAAATTGATGTCCAGGGCTGGCGAAATTAAAGTACCATTATTCACACTTCTTTCTTATCATTAAGGACATTTGATTTCGAATCTCTGATAATCGGATTAACTACGAAAATTAGGATTGATCGTTGATTAGGATTGATTAATTCATTACAATCTGATTCCTTGATATTTATGAGAGTCAGGTAATAAATCAACAGAATAACTGATTGGGATAGAACATTAATTGATTAGTGACGAGCCAAATATCATTAAATCATGAAGAAAAATCTCATGTCAAAGGGAAGGTTGCTGTTAATTATCAAAGTAATCAAGGAATTAGATTATCAGCCAGATCTTAGAAGTGTAATCTTTGAATCAACCAGACTATGACTCCATTGGTGATGTAGTCATCAAGAAACCGCTTCTAGTAAAGTTGCTTTGTATACCTTCCGAAACTGTCAGGTTTAGGTATTTTCTAGATAATTTTCAATATATTAGGGGATTTTCGAAGCTTTAGAATTCAATTTAATCACATATCTATAGTAAGAGACTATACAATCGTTAGATGGAGTTGACTGCCTCTTTTGGCAATAAAACATAGAAATGGTGGTTTGACCATTAGAACGTTTACGATAGATATAAATACATGTGTTGAAGCTGAAAAATATTATTGAATGGGTGAATACCATAACAGTCTTCTATTCCGAGTCATTTAGGTACATGTTTTGATACTCCAGGTGAGTCAAAACTCGAAACTTACAGTTGATTCGGGAGGTCGAAAATCTATAACAAAAGACTTGCCCATCAAGTTCAAAATTGTTTATTTATAGGTTTTTGGTACAATGTCTATGTCTTTATCAGTTGTGTAACTCTGTAACGTTTATCAGAGCATAAAGGTTTGGCTCCCGTCAAAATCCCTCAAGATTTTTTCAAGGGTGAAGAATTTCTCATAAATTTTTTTCATTATTGAGATTTGACACATTTTTCGAGGATGGAAAATGATAAGTTACTTGACAGTGAAGATCAAACTGACAATGACATAGAGTTGGAGGAAATAGATGATGAAGTCATTGATATTTTAAAAGATTTGAAGTTCAAGCGGAGTCCCCACTCATTGAATGAATTGCAGGAAAATTTGAACTTGATTCGTGATAGGAGAGCTAACTTAGGAGTTCTTAAGTACTTGAGGGATAAGTACATTCCCATGTATGACATATTATTGAGGTTCAATCCTTCAGATCCTGATCGCCCGAAGGCGGCTGATTTCGGTACCATGCCCCTTGAAAAACAATTGAAAACCTTGTTGGTGAATGCTGCCCTCCATAGAACTGAAGTTTCCCGGACTTATGAGAAAGTTCGGATAACTGAGTTGGCGAAAACCCTGACGTTCTATGCAATAGGTAAGAAACTAGGACTTGCTGCAGATGATTGTGGGGCCGTGATGTTACTTTTCTTCGGAACCATAGTAATTATTTCATTTGCTACAACCCTATGGCTCATAACGAAATAAATTGCAAAATTACTCGGTAAAATTATGCTATTACCGCAGCTTCTACTCTCCTCTGTTCCCTGATAAAACCATCGCAAATTATAGAGTTTCGCAGATGTTTAGCTCAACACTATCTGAACCAAAAACCCTCCAATCAGAGAGCAAATAACTTCGGCAAAAATAATGTGGTTGACAAGGATGTCATTGAATATGCACCAAGGAATATTGAGGGAATAGGAGAACAAAGTATTCAAATCAAATAGGAATATTTTGCTCGAATGTTATCACCTAAACACAAAGACAAAATAAACGACAAGGAGTTTCACCTCAAATACCAATTTGAATTCTTTTTATGTCAAGACAAATAGAGAAGACAAAGACGAGTGAAAAATTCCTAGTTTAGTATCAAGCTGGATGAATGATAGAGAGTCATTGGATAAAAGTACCAGTTGAGCTAGTGCCACCATTAATTGAGTAACTTATCATGAGCTTCCATTTTAACAGACGGCTGGGAGTATAGATAAACTAAAAATGAAGACGAAGGTTGGTAGATCATCAAAGTTAAAAATTTACAAGAATTAACAGAATTGGCCGTCAACGAATCATGGACAAGAAAATTGTAGAGATGAAGAAGATAAGGATTATTCTAACAAAAGCAAAATTATTTCACAATCGTAGTGAAAGTATCATAATGAATGAATAGGGGAGAAGCAGGTTGTGAATTTCTTAAATTTTCAGATGTGCGGCTTTCGATTTGGGTGCAAAATTTTTTCAGGTGCCCTCAACATTCATTCACAGAATTTCGTGCTAGGTGATATTTTACCCTGAAAGATTAGAGAAAAAATAGATTATCAAGAGCAAACACAGTACCAAGATTCTGACGTACAAACCGTATAATTAATTCACTTCCAAGCTCCTTTGTTTATGTACCCATGATGAGATAAAAATTCCGGCCCTTCTAAGGTTTAATACATCGTCTATGATGGAGTTTATGCTTTCTCTTTTCTCTAAGTATGAGAGAAGGAGAATCAAAGTAAGTATGTCACGGTAAAGTAACACAATTATGGTGGAATCTCATATGTTTGGCACGAGAGGCGCTTGCAAGACGAAGAGACACAGAAAATTGAAAATCCATAAATTGTACTAATCACCAGTCACGAAACATTACGTCTAATAGATGAAATTATTAGTTCCCATCATTGAAAGCACCTATGGAGTTAAAGGAATCTAGGCAGAAAGATGTTCAGATCCACTACTACTAAATGTTCTACCAGTATGGAAAGGAGTAAAAAATTCAATAGCTTTGAGTAACTTCTTACTTCCAGCTTCAAGACTTTGCATACCAACGTAATCCTCTTTAACTCTAATTAAACCTGGAGTGAAAATAGCCATGTGAGCTTCAATGGCTTCATTATCAGCATTATTAGAATTGACTATACCCGGACAAATACCCATGATCGTCATCCCTTTTGACCTGCCATAAGCAGCATATTTGGCAATAATCATATTAAGGACAGCTTTAGAAACAGAATATGGGATTATAGTATCAAATTTTGATTTTTCAGTATATTCAGCGGAGCCTAAAGTTGATGTAAGAAAAATTATCTTCTTTTCGACGGATTTTTCAACTAAAGGAAGTAGTTTGTTAGCGATGTAGATTTGAGCAAAAGCATTCACCCTAATTACTTCATTGGTCTGATCAACAAAATCTCTCCACTCTTCCCTGGTTTCAGTTAATTCGGTGGGGGATTTCATATTGGAATGCAACATCCCAGCGTTTAAGATAGCTACATCAATAGTTGTATGATCTTTGACAATTTGTTCAAAAACCTCATCTACTTCATCTTCCACACCGATATCACAACGATAAATAAGGAGGTTCTTAGATCCGAGAGCTTCTAAGTCTTCAACGCTTGCTGATTTTCTTACAGTTACAAGAACTTTATTGTTGTTATCTTTCAAAAGTTCAGTGACAACACCAAGACCAATACCTCTGTTTGCACCCGTGATAAAATAAGTTCTCATCTTTTGATTCTTTGAATTGAACTTAAATGGTGGGTTCATGGTGCTAATTTATATTTCTTGTGTGTATCATAGATGCTGTAGATCAAAGAGTGAGATGGTAGTACTTTGGTGACATCTGCGATTTTTATTGGCTTGAGTATAGGTATACTTACTAATCGCGAACTATCTCCTACTACCAACTCCGACTGCTGAATAATGTGCTCATACTAAGATAGGAACGGAGTTAAGAATTAAGAAATTTTGGAATAAAGCTCATTTATAGAGGAAGATACATTAAAAAAATATCAAAAAACATCAGTGTATATTAATCAACATAATAACCTAGGCCAGGATATGTTCAGAACCATTGGTACTGAAAATCTTACCACTTTGGAAAGAACCATAAAATTCAACAGCTTTGAGTAATTTCTTACTGGCAGTTTCAACATTTTGGACTCCAATATAGTCTTCATTGACTCTTCTGAAACCATGTTTGAAGGATTCCATCAAACCATCAGCAACTTCATCAGTAACACCATATGTATTAACAACACCAGGACATAATGCAATGATAGTTAAACCTTTAGTCTTGGCAATATCAGTATATTTGGCAACAATCATGTTAGTAACAGCTTTGGAAATAGAATATGGAATAGCAGTATCAATTCTTGATTTTTCAACGAATTCATCATCACCAAAACCTGATGAAACATGGAAGATTTTCTTTTCTTGGGATTTTTCAACAAAAGGGATTAATTTGTTGGTAATATAAATTTGGGAATAACCATTGATTTCAATACTTTGATTAGTGGCATCAATAAAATCTTTCCAACTTTCAGCATTTTCAGTAAGTTGTAAAGGATTTCTAGTATCTTGATGAACGAAAGCCGCATTCAAAATGGCAACATCGATAGTGTCAGTAATTTTAGCAAGTTCTTCAAAAGCACTGTCAATTTCAGATTCGTTAACGATATCACAATAGATAATCAGAAGATTTTTAGATCCTAAGGCTTCTAAATCTTCAATGCTAGCAGATTTTCTAACTGTAACGATAACTTTGTTGTTAGTGTCTTTAACAAGTTCAGTGACTAAACCAAGTCCAAGACCTCTGTTAGCTCCAGTAATAAAATAAGTTTTCATGTTTGTTTTGTGTTTGTTTGTAATTGTTTGATGATTATACACCATGGTAGACCATGGTATTTATACACTGAATCGTTCAATTCCTGTTCCTTGACCTTCTAGCATCCTTAATAATTACTTTGTGACATCTCGATCTCTGATTGGTGTGACGCACAAATTTATAACGCACTAACGATTAACTTCTCATCATTTTACTAAGCATTTTTGCCCGTGACAAATATAGCATAAAGTTTCACATTACGCCATTGATTTATAAAATGATTTGAAGACGTTTTAGTAAATTTCCAATATGGGACTGTTGATGTGATGTGTAATACAATTTTTGTAAGGTTTGTCAGGAATCTGTTCGTCTGATAGTTTGGCTCACAGGGTCTCACTTCAAGTCAGACCTTTAAGGCCGATAGAATTAACCTTGGCCATGGATTAAAATATCAAAGATCAGGAGAAGAACATATTATTCGCCTATAATATAAATTAATATCTACACACTTCTTTGTTTAGAAGGATCGAATGGGAAGAAAAGAGCAATAATTCCCAAAAATCCAATACATCCAGCACAAACATAGATTGGGACCGGAGTTGAGGTATTGGAAAAGTAAGCAATAAGAGGTACGATCAAACCCCCAATTCTACAAACAACTGCACATAAACCAGAACCAGTGGCACGGCAATAAGAAGGTAACACTTCCGGAGTGAAAGCATATAAAACACCATAATAAATATAAATGGTAATATAGGATACTACAGTGAAGGCTTGATTTTGGGCTCTAGTTCTAACAGTAGTATAACACATCAAGAAAACCATAGATAAAATCCCACCAATGCAAAGAGCACCTTTTCTTCCTATTTTTGGAGTTAAAATTAATGCTGCACCAATAACAGGTCCAAAAGCTGATAAACCATTACTCATCATAGCATCACTATAAATACCAAGATTAGTAGAAGCTGAAGTAGTAGCTCCTTTTGCTGCTAAATATTGAGGTAAAAAGATACCATATAATGGATAAGCAATACCAATACCAAACCATGAAGTCAATAATAAAGTAGTATTCCATTTCATTTTTTTGGTTGCAAATAAATACTTCAAATTAGAAGTAGCAGCTTTGAAAAAATCCTTGATTTTAGGATCTTTCTTACTATATTTATTCTTATCAACTGATCCACATTCTTGTAATTGTTCTAAAGTTAAAGATAAGTTTCTGTTGTACTTGGTAGCAATTTTTTGTAATAATTTCATGGCTTCTTCATCCTGATTATTGACAATCAAATATTTTGGAGTTTCATCTAATTGTAAAAATAATCTGATTAATGATAAACCAAGAAGAATACCAGAATCAACGTACCAAGTATATCTCCAACCTCTATTTTTAGCTGAATCACAGATCGCATCGAAGTCAGTACATCCATTCCATTTTTCTGGTACCATAAATCCGTAAGCTACTACATATCCGACTAATTGACCAAATGACCAAAAACAAGCGAAAAATGTAACTAACCAAGTGTATCTTGATGGTAAAGTTTCTAAGAAAACTGAGGCATCAATAGCTAAATTACCACCAACGAAGAATGAAGTTATCATAAGGAAAATTAAGTACATAACATAATTTGAAGAACCACCAACGAAGAAACCAAAACATGAACTTGCTAATAATGTGGTGTTGAAAGCTAATTTTCTACCAATAATATCAGCTGTCATACCAAAGAAAATTGAACCTAATAATAAACCAACATATGAAACTTCAGTAGTTACTGAAAAAGATTGATGGAATTGAATATTGATAGCAAGACTAACAGTACTATGAGCTAAACCAATTAAAGATTCAGCCGCATAACCATAACCCGCAATAATCATATACTTGAAATGAAACCAAGTAAAACCAATTTCATCTAAAGCATTATTGATTAAATGCATTTTCTTTGTCAAAGCAATATCTCCATCTTCTAATTCAACCATATCATTTTGTAAGGTTGAATTTTTTGTTGATAACGATTCAACATCAACCACAGGAGGTGATTTTTCATTTTTCATTAACTCTGACATCCTTACAATTTGAAATTTATTAATTAGGAATTTATCTCCATTATATATCTAAAAAATCGACAAGGTAATTCCATCCTATTTTCGACAATATTGTCCAATCTAAAGTGCAGGTTGGATCGCATTTTATTGCTGCAATAGTCAATCAGGCACGAAAGTTGGGGGAGATAACATACCAAATCGGGTAATTCTTATCAGTTGACCGAGATATTAAATTTAAAATATTTTCTATATTCTTATCTTATCTTATCTTTAGGTTAATAGAAGTACGTTAGGCTAAAGCTCATAATGTAATCAATAGCTCTATCAAATAGGCTAACGACACAGGAGCTTAATTCATAAAGTTTGAAGCTCGGAATAAAATGTGATGAAGTTTCCATACAGAAATGAGCATATTGTAGTCGTAATTTTAACACTATTATTCAGTTGAAACCAAGATGTAATTGGAAAGATTAGCTACTTACCATTATTATTTACCAATAACGATAAGGATTATCTCGCTCCATATATCCCCTCGGAAACACCTTCTCCCTAATATTCAGCCTTCTGATAATGAAAAGTTGTGCGGAATTCTTTTACCACATTTGGAGACGTGCAGGAAATCCATTCCGAGCTTGGAAGAACTCCAAGCAATTAAGAAACAAAAGAAATCAATGAGATAAAATAATTCAAGAGATAAAGGAAATCAAGAGATAAAGGAAATCAAGAGAAACAAGGCAATGAAAGAAATCTAAGAAAGAAATCAAAGAAAGAGACCAAAAAAAAAGAACACTGAAAGATATAAAATTAAAATCTATTAAAAAACCTAAAATACTACAAAAAGAACTAAACTCACATAATTAACCCACCAGTAGATTTGATACTTGTGATAACTTTCAATTTCTCTTCATCATTGCTATCATTTTCACTCCTTTCAGAGTAATAATCAACAGATCCTGGATATCCAACACCACCAATAGGAGCATCTTCTTCGAAAAATCCATCAGTTTCAGTCATATATTCCCAAGTCTTTGGAGTTTCAGCATGTTGATCAGGGTATATTTTAGTTTTGAAAATAGTACCTAAAGCAGCATGAAGAACGAATCCACAAATAAAGGTATATAACCAACCAGAACTATAGATTTCAGAAGCTACTTTATTTAAAGCACCTGGATGATAAGCATTGTAAAGACCTGGAATACCAAGAACTGGAGATAAACACCAAGCTCCTAAACCCCAAAGATTAAACCCTTTATAATAATAGTAAGCTCCTTGAGGAGATCTAGTATACAATGAAGGTACATGAAGATTACCCCTTCTTAAAACATAATAATCAGCTAACAAACCTCCGAGAAGTGGGGCAACAAAAATGGAGTAAGAACCCAAAAATGTTAAGAATTGAGTAGCATTGGCAAGGAATTTCCATGGAACAATAGCCCAAATAAGAACACCAGCTAAGATTTGAGCACGTAAAATAGTGAAGTATCTTGGAAGTAAACCCGAAAGATCACAAGCAAAAGGGATTGAATTAGCAAAAATATTAGTACCAGCAGTAGCTACCATGAAAGCAAGAGAACAGAAGAAAATACCTGTTCTAGCCCCGGCACCCCATTGATGGTCTAAAATGGCATCAAATAAATCCCACATATTCCAGTATGCTTGTCCATAAGCTCTGTAAATGGCACAAGTAGAAGCCATACCAAACAATAAGACAACAATTTTAGAAGGAATGAAACCGATGGCTTGATATAAAACAGTATCAGATTTGTTTCTAGCATATCTTGAAATATCTGGTTGATTGATAATCATAGGAGATAAAGTACCCATAACAGTGTTAACAACTGACATCCAAGTATTACCAGTTGATAAAGTACTAACACCTTTTGCACCAACATCCCAATTACCTGGACCATGACCTCTAATCATACAAAAGATGAATAAACCAGTTAAAGCCATTGGAGTGAAGAATGACTTGAAAGTGAAAAACCAACGAATTTGTCTTGGATGGACCCACATCAAAGGCATTTGAAGTAACCAGTATAAGAAGAAGGCAACCATACCTCTAGTAGTAATTTGAGCACTTTCAGGTAAATGATTTGGAAGATTTACCCATTTATGACCGAAGATACAACGGAACATAACATCTAACATCTTTGAACCATAGTAACTTTGGACCGAATTCCAAATAATGGCAACGAATAATCTTACAAATACGAAGAAGTAAAACAATCTGGTACCATAAACGGCTCTAGCATATGTTGGATAACCAATATGATAACTTGAACCAACTCTAGCATTAACAACAGTGAAAAAACAAGCAACTACAATACCTAAAATACAAGCACCAATAACTTGTCCATAAGGTAAACCGGTCGAAGCAATCAATGAAGCACCAGTATTAAACTCATTAACATTCACAGCAGATTGAAGCCAAATTAAGACATAATTATATTTACGCCAAGTTCTATCTTTGGGAGCCGTAGGATTTAAATCATAATTTGATCTAATAGCATCGGGCTCTTTTTCATGAGCATCTTCAGTAGCGATGAACTTATCAAATTTCTTCAATGCATCCATCTTTTTGTTTTTTTCTTTATAATCCTTTTGATATTAAAACTACCATGCTTTTAAATATATTGTTCACCAAATCTCTTATCTCGCGAAAACTCGTTATCTGCGGAATTTCCCTCAATGGTACCATTTGTTTATCAGCGGATGTGCCGCAATCGAGACATTAGTAAAAGTCGCGATGATTTTGGTTCTTAATAATCGAGTAGGAAAGAAAGTATTCCACTTTTTCAAATTGTGTGATATTCAACATGAGTAAAGTATTTACCCCATTGAGCATAGGTGACTATGAATTAAGTCATAGAATTGTCATGGCACCATTAACTCGTTACAGAGCCCCCAATGGAATCCCTGGCGAGTTAATGGAAGAATATTATAAGCAGAGATCATCATCGGGATCCTTAATTATAGCTGAAAGTACAGCTATTTCTCCCACTTCAGGTAATCCACTTAATACTCCAAGAGTTGATACTCCCGAATCAATTGAAGGATGGAAAAAAGTGGTGGAAGCAGTACATCTGGAAGGAGGTATATTCTTCTGTCAATTGAATCATTATGGTAGAGGTGCTGTACCAAGTGAAAATGGTAATGTATTACCGATTTCAAGTTCATCCATTGCTATCAAAGGTGAAAAGTTCTATAAACCCAAGGAAATGGATGAATCTGATATGAAGCAAGTGATTGAAGACTTTACCAATGCTGCTGAAGCTGCGATTAAAGCCGGATTTGATGGAGTAGAATTACACGGAGCTAATGGTTACTTATTGGATCAGTTTGTTAGAGACAATGTTAATGTCAGAACCGACCAATATGGTGGATCTATTGAAAACAGATGTAAGTTCCCTTTACAAGTATTAGATTCAGTTATCGCTAGAATCGGTAAAGGGAAAGTGGGATACAGAATCAGTCCATGGGATCCATATCAAGATTGTAAAGATTCCAAACCTTTAGAGCATTTTGCCTATTTCTGTGAACAACTTGAAAAGAGGAATATTGCTTATGTTCATAGTGTTGAAGAGAGAAGTGATGCCAATGGAGGTAGAGAAAACGATAGTACCAGTTCCGATAGAGTGACAGTTTCTGCTTTGAAGAAATATTTACCTTCCACTCCATTGATTTCAGCTGGAGGTTGGAACGATAGGAACTTATCAACATTTGATGACTTTGAACTTGATGCTATTGCCATAGGGAGATTTTATATCAGTAATCCTGATTTGATCAAGAGATTGAGGGACAAATTACCTTTATCAGCTTATAATAGAGCAACATTCTATCAACCATTAGAGCCAAAAGGTTACATAGATTACCCAGTTATCTAAAGTTTTATCAGCCATTAGAGCCAAGTGGCACATAGACCAGTTATCTTATCTTCAGAGCCAAAATTTACAAAGCCACGAGAGCCAATGGCCCAAGTATCTCACCACCAGAGTCAAAGGATAACTCACCCAAGTATCTCACCACCAGAGCCAACGGTCACATAGATTACCCAAGTATCTCACCACCAGAGCCAAAAATTACATAGATTACCCAATTATCTAAACTTTTATTAACTTTTTCTAACTTTTATTTTCATTTTGTATACTTATCATAGAGAAACTCGACTTATCTTCATTTTTTTCATTCTCTTTTGAGTCTTCATCTTCATTTTTGTTTTTGATAGCCAAAGACAATAAGAACATCAACCCAGATAATGCCGTCAACAGTATCATGACATCTCGGTAACAATCAAGATATGCATTGATAACGGGGGTACCATAGGCTGATAATCCATTGGGATTGGCTATTATTTCTTCTACCATCTTGGAATCTTCATATATATCACTTATTCTCTTCTTGAACAATGTATTGAAGATAATACCTGAAATCAATAACCCAAAAGCTCCTCCAAAACATCTGAAAAAGTTTCTGAGTCCTGTAACTACAGCTCTATCTTTAGGATTAGAATAAGAAAGTAATGCCAATAAAGTTGGTTGGAAAGTGAAAGCAATTCCCAAACCTTGGATCAAATTACTCCCCACCAATAATCCAATGTTACTATGGAGATTGAATAAGATTTTCAAACCTGTTCCTAAGCACCACATAGCACCTCCAAACCATAAACAAGCAACATAATTTCCATACTTTGAGTTCAAGAATCCTACACCTACACCAAATATACTACTACTGCAAGTTGCTGGTAATTGTAATAACCCTGACATAATTGGCAGCCATCCTCTTACATTCTGTAAGTATAAAGGTAAGTAATAGATATCGACAAAATATGCCCAACCCATAAGAAGACACATAAGGAACAATAACAGAAGATGGAAATCTTTGAACAAATAAAGTGGGATCATAGGAATGGTAGCATAGAATTGTTCAATACACAAAAATGCAATGAATGTTATAACTCCAATAATCAAAAGACTTAATACTTGAGGACTTTTCCAAGACCAAGTTTCTCCTCCACCTGAAATAGCTACCAATACAAACACAATCCCCACCAAAGAAGTGATGAAACCCCAGATATCTAATTGTTTCAATTTGATCTTGAAAGAACCGGTAACGGGTTTTAAGGGAACAAAGAAGTATAAGCAACAAGCACTGACAACAGCTATAGGACAAGAAATCCAGAAAGTCCATCTCCAATTAGCTTTTTCACTTAAAAGACCACCTAACAAAGGACCGGCACCATTCCCTAAAGATGTTGAAATGGCCACAAATCCAAAATATTTCCCTCTTTCTCTAGGAGTCAATAAATCTGAAAATGTGATCATCACCAAACAATTAATACCTCCACCACCAATACCTGAAATACCTCTAAAGATGAAAAGCATCACTATGTTCTCGGAGAATCCACTGACCAAATTCCCAACAAATAAACATCCAATACAAAGAAGAAAGATATTCTTTCTGCCAAATATATCGGATAATCTACCAAACTGAAGTTGGAAATTGGTGTTGGCAATCAAATATGATGCACCACACCAGGTATTGATCAAACTGGAGTTTCCTAAAGATTTCTCAATGGAAGGTATACTAGTGGTGACAGCAGTTTGATCGAAGAACGAAACAAATAACGATATGGTTAAACATCCTAAAGTTGTAAGAAGCAACCGATGAGGTAGTTGCTGAGCTTGATCTTGAATCTGTTCAGTCATAAGGTAATTTTTTTCCAAAAAGTCTGCTGATAATGTATATGCATTCTATATCTTATCACATCTCCAAAGATCATGTCGCATTTTGATTAAGATTGTTATCAGTGGATCAGTTCCGCAAGTGGGAGATTAGAAAAAAAAAAAAGTTCACGGAAGCTCGCCGCACTATCTGTCAAAGATTTTGATAACGATTCCGCATCAGACAATTCCCACCGTTTATAATTGACATAGAAGTCAATTCACCTCCAGTTTCACATTTTAAATCAAATATGTCAATTCCAAGTTTAGAATTCGACCCAAATACTAAAGTTACCTTAGAAGATTTACACGCTCAACCCAGTAAATTGGGTTTAAAATTACAACCTGAAGAGGTTGATGATTATTATACTATGCTTTGTGCTTTTGAAAATTCAATTCAAAACATCTTAGCCTTAGATGATTATTATTTACCTACTGACCTTGAAAGATTCAAAAGAGAAAATGTCTATTATCCTTCAAAGGAAGAAAATCCAAAAGGTGGATGGGCCTATAAGGTTACTATCGTTGATAGTAAACCAGAATTAGAAGAAGCTAGACCTTTGGAAGGGAAGACCATTTGTATGAAGGATTGTATTGATATTGCCACGGTCCCTCAAATCTTTGGTACTGATGCTTTTGAACCATTTGTTCCTGATGCTGATGCTACAGTAGTTACTAGATCTTTGAAAAGCGGAGCTAAGGTTGTTGGTTTAGCCACTTGTGAGAATCAAAGTTCAAGTACTGCATCTAATACTGCAAGTACTGGTAATGTCGAGAACCCTTATTGTGATGGATATTCTGCTGGGGGTTCATCAAGTGGTTGTGGATATCTTGTTGGTAGTGGGGAAGTTGATTTAGCTGTCGGATGTGATCAAGGTGGAAGTATTAGAGTTCCATCCGCTCATTGTGGTATTGTCGGGTTCAAGCCAACTTTTGGTCTTGTTCCATACAGTGGTATTGGATCTTTAGAAACCAACATTGATCATGCAGGTCCAATGACTAAAACTGTTCTTGATAATTGTTTATTACTTGAAGTTCTTGCTGGAAGAGATGGCTTCGATGATAGACAAGATGGTGCTCCATTACCTAAAGATATTCCAAAATATAAAGAAATCACTGAAAAGTCTTCCATTAAAGGAATGAAAATCGGTATCTTAAAGGAAGCTTTGGAAGTTCCTGCTATGACTGAAGCTATGAGAGAAAAATTCTTAGAAACTGCTAAAATGTTTGAATCTCTTGGAGCTGAAGTTATTGAAATCTCCATTCCAACTCATAAAGTTGCTCCCGAAGTTTGGGCTGTTGGTCAAAGACAAGCAGGTGCCTTAAGAAAAATGGGACTTCAAGGAGGTCGTAGAATCTTAAAATCTACCAGAAATTTCGATCATACTTTACCATGGACTCAAGAATCTTTTGATAAGACTCCACCTCCAGTTAAGAATGGTATTATCAATGGTTTATATATGGCAGAGAAATACCCAAGTTTATACACCAAATGTATCAACTTGAGTTTAAAAGCTACTGCTGATTATAACAAAGCCTTAGAACAAGTTGATGTATTGATTACTCCAACTGTTCCAAAAGTTGCCCCACCTCACGGTATTAGAGATGATAGTCCGCTTGAATTGATCAAGTACACTATTGGATTAAATGCCAATACAGGTATTTTCAATATTACTGGACATCCAGCTCTTTCTTTACCTGTTGGATTCTTACCAGCAGCCAATCATCCAGATGTTAAATTACCTGTTGGTTTACAAATCATTGGTAAACATTATGATGAATTATCAATCTATAGAGCTGCTTATGGGTGGGAAAAGGCCTATAATTGGAAAGATTATTGAATAGATTAATATAGACTTCTACCTTTTTACACTACCACTCTACACTTTACACCACTTTACACCACTTTACAATGCCATAATACCACTCTACCAAAGAATCGTTGTTTACGATCAGACAAGGGGTCAGACCACCCTTCTTACCGCCTCCTTATCATTAACATCATATTGTTCCGCTCTTGCTCCTTTTATCTCCTTTTAAATTAGTAAACTCTCAAAAACGGGAGGATAGACCGATGGGGAAACTGTGCGGTAATGCGGAATGATTTTGATAGGTCTGGTGGAAAGGTGGAAGTTCCGCGATCTCTTATCAGGGAAAAAACGTTAACGATAAGGCCTAGACGACTAACTATAAATTTTCCAGTCAATATCTTACCACACACATCAGAAAATAAAATCTATACATTCTATACATTATGGAATCAACAATTGCCTCCGCTGTACCAAAAGAAGTCAACATTGACAAAAATGCCAATACTAAATTCGACTTTAGCCGTAATTTATTAGGTTATGGTGAAGAAGGTTTAGATCTTCAATGGCCAGATAACAAAAAAATCGCTGTTTCCTTCGTTTTAAACTATGAAGAAGGTGGTGAAAGAAGTCTTCAATATGGTGACGAAACCAGTGAATTCGTTTTATATACCTCATCTAAACCAGGACCAATTCTTCAAAGAGCTTATGAAGTTGAATCAGAATATGATTATGGTTCAAGAGTTGGGGTTTGGAGAATCTTAAAATTATTCAAAAAATTTGGTAACAGAATCACTGCTTATGCTGTTGGTAAAGCTTTCGAAACCAACCCTGCGGTTCCAGAAGCTTTTGTTCGTGATGGTCATGAAATTGCTTCTCATGCTTATAGATGGATTCCTTATGAAGATAAATCACCAGAATTAGAAAAAGCTTACATCTTAAAACAATTAGAAACTTTGGAAACACTTACTGGTGAAAAAACTCCTGGCTGGTACATGGGTAGATTAAGTCCTCAAAGTATGGGATTAATCACTGAAGTTTATAGAGAATTAGGAAAAGAATTACCATATATGAGTGATTACTATGGTGATGATGTTCCAGTTTGGGTTGATGTTCCAGCTGAAAAAGACTTACCTGATGAAGAAAAGAAAGGTTTATTGTTCGTTCCATATTCTTTCGATACCAATGATTATAGATTCTTAACCACCAATGGTTTTAGAGCTGCTGAAGCTTTCTATGAACATATGAAGAATGCTTTTGATACCTTATACGAAGAAGGTGGTAAAATGATGACTGTTGGTCTTCATTGTAGAATTATTGGTAGACCAGGTTATTTCCAAGCTTTAAAGAAATTCGTTGAATATGTTAACCTGCATGATGACGTTTGGGTTTGTTCAAGATCTGATATTGCTACTCACTTCAAGAGTAAATATCCATATAAACCCGGTAAATAAATGCCGAGTTATTGTCCAGGTAAATGAACCCGGTAAATAAGTACCGAGTTATCTACAAGGTCCAATAGAGAAATATATAAACTTCTAATATATCTATTCAACTACCTTTCAACACCTTCAACACTTCAACACTTCAACACTTCAACACCTCAACACCTTCAACCCCTTCAACACCTCAACCCCTTCAACACTTCAACCCCTCAACACCTTCAACACCTCAACCCCTTCAACACTTCAACCCCTCAACACCTTCAACCCCTCAACACCTTCAACACCTTCAACACTTCAACCCTCTAACACCTCAACATCTTCATCCCCCTAAATTATTCATAATCTGATCCCAGAAATCTTCATTGATATCAAAGGATCCATGATTATTTTCCATAGATGTACTGGTTAATGTAATATAATCTATGTTCTTGTTCACACTATCATCCAATAAGTTTTCAAATAAATCTCTATAAACTTTAGCTTCAATCCATCGTTCAGAAAATACAAACAAAAGACTTGAACAGGCTCTTATATCATTATGGATATTGATAAATCTAGGCTCTCCTTTGTTCTTCAAATAGAAGACCAAAGTTATTCCTGCCAAAAAAACCGTATGTAAAGCAACAATACTAAACTCTAAGATAGAATCTTTGTATAGAAGCTTATAACTGATACATATCCTACCAGCTGACAAACATGCTTGGTCAAGTAATGTTGAACGAGAGTTGATGGATGTTTTCATGATTATCGGTATTAACAAAATCAACTTAGCTCTATGATACAGTAATTCTAAGAAATCATAACTTTCTCTTCCTTCAAGAACTTGATCGAAATCTTCTCTTAAAGGTAATTCCGAATACCATCTCTCCAAATCTCTGTTGATAGTCTCAAAATTATCACCCACAGGAATTGATCCATTAACGGAATACAATAATAAGTGGATTCTACTTTCTATTAATCTTATTTTTGAAGTATTGATGAACGTAGTATAACATGAAATGGGACCGGTGAAAAGGGGATCTTTCTCTTGTTGTAATTGTAATTGATAAAGATTATAAAGTTCACTTTTAGTAGGATTATTGGAAATATCCATACTTATAGGATAAGGAATATCTACAAAACTATCAAAATACACAAAAGGTCTCCCCAAGGATAACGATAAAAGCTTATCATTATTATAACAACTCCAAAAGATTCGTTTTTGTACTTCATATTGCCAACAGTTTTCAAGAGTAACCGTTTGTTTCCGATGATATCCATATTGGATCAATTTCCTTATGGCCATACCTGTTAGTTCCCATGATGATACATAAAATGATATATGATAACTTCTACTTATGAACATAGCTATCAACAAACAACTTTGAATTTGTCTCATATTGTCCAACTTAGCATTTGTTAAAGCTTTCAAAGCCCTTCGGAAATAATGTTCTGGTGAAGGATATGTCGTCACATGTAATAATTGATTTAATCTACAGCCAATCCCCAATGCCATATTCAAACAAAATTTCTCCCAAGGAGTTTTCTGTTCCTTAGGTAACATTTCATGGAACCAAACATGATCAATCAAATAACATCGATTATGAGCCAAACTGAAATATTTCTCTAAAAAAAGTTCTTCAGTTTTAGGAGGGATATCAGTAGAATGTTCACCACTGGGAGAATCTTCAATTATTATTGCATATTTCTGATTATCCACTGTTTCAGAAGTCTCATTACCCAAAAGATTTCTAATAGCTTTTACTATGGTTATAACAGCAAAAGTTCCAATATATTCTTCAGATTCATCACAATTTCGATATAAAATCCGGGAAATGATCTCCGAAAACGTCGATTCACTTAAAACCGTATCATCGATGATATTTGGTTTACTTACTTGAGACATTTCAAGTTCATGTTGTAATTCCTTGTTAATTTTAGTTAAGTCTTTTATTTGGTCTAGGAGATTATTTATGGTTTCTTGATCACCTGATTGGAAATTTCTTCCATATTCACACTCAGAAGAAGCCTTATTACAATTAGAACACGGCCTACCCCCATCACACTTCCTTTTCCTTACTTTACATCGGTTACAAGCTACCAAAACTCGAGAGTTCTTCCTATCCATTATCGCGATGTTTCCCAAATCTGGTTGTAATCGGCGGATCTCTTATCTAATCGCGGAAATCGATTATCAATGAGTGGGAAGAAAAGAGTCAGGAAAAATCCCATAAATAGGAACAGATGTCTGATCTGTAAGCATCAGAATAAAAGATGTGATCTTAAACCTGGGAAAGATCGTTGTTCTTATTGTGAAAAGAAAGATCTTGTATGTGAAATCCCCCAATTTAGAACTATCTTATATCAAGGTCCTCCTAAAAGGAAGGAAAGATCTTTAAGTGAAATTCATAAAATGGCTGAACTCATTCATAAGGATCAACACCCCAATCTCGATTTAAAAGAAAGTATCATATTGAACTATTTGGGTTTCAGCATTCAACAATCACCTGATCTTAAACATGTTTCTACTATCAGGAGTAATGGATTCTTTGCCGTATATGAGAAGAAAGTGGTGATATCTGAATTTGTTGATGGTCATGTGTTAGATGAAGAAATTACAGAGATTCCATTAGTGGACGATAATACCAATTTTGAAAAGAAAACCGGAGAGTTATATGGTATAGCTATTAATGATGCTTATAAGTATTTCACCGCTTTCCCCGAATATACTGAAACGGATTTTTCTAATAATTTACTTGAATTATCATTTGAACATACAAAGACTGGATCTGTTGTTAAAATTGAAGAAGAACTTCCTCTAGTAGGAGATATCGATACCATAGAATTGAAAAATGAATTATTCCTTGAAGGTCCAGCTTTAGTGGTTGATAAATATGATTTTAAAGATAAAACCCCTACTTTTAGAACCATCCAAGGCAAGTTCATAGATATACCGGAATATATCTCGTCAAGTCAGGTGGAAATACTTTTGAATAATTTCTGTATTCATTTCCCCCAGGAGACTTCCAAACTATTGTATGCCACCAATCCTTTGGAAACATTGAGGGATCATACTTCTAAGGTATTAACTACATATTTAACTTTAGCTTTCAGTAATGTGGTGGTATTGAAATGTATTCTTCTTTGGTCAGCTCATTGTATGGAGTTAAAAGGACACCCCAAATTTGAATTCAAACACCAATTGAAGAATGAAATAGTTGTAGGTTTCAATTCCAGAATGAACTATATAACTTCAATATGTTGTGACCATACACTAGCGATAGAATATTTACTTTATGATATCCAAGTGTTGGAGAATGAGATCAAGCCTGAATTTTGGTATAATTTGAATTGTCTTGTTATCAAATCCATGTCTATGAGGGGTGGATTACAGAAACTCGTGGAATCAACTAACGGTCAGGTGTTTAGGAAAATCTTCTGTTTACATTATTTCACCAGATTTTCTTATAGTATCTTGAAGTATGATATCAGTTCATTGGAAATTGATGATGTACAAACGATATTCAACATCCCTGCTGTTGATAACCAATCCTCATATTACAATGCATTTAAGGATATCTGTGCAGTGGTGGTGGAATCATTCCATTTATATGGATTAATGAAATTAGCTAGAAATTCCAATCATTTGAATGACGTTGATCCATTACAGAAGTATGAAGCTTTGAGCAGTAGTAATGTCACTGATATTTTGAACAGATGTGATGATTTGGAGAAGAGAATGACAAATATGGTGATTCCAAGTAATGAAGAACCTATGCAAATCAAAGGTGAAAACATGAGACACATTCTTGAATTCATGAAATTGGCAGCACTGTTGATATTCCATCAACTTATTTATAATTACACTTCCACATCACCATTCACATTACTTCGGATGAAAGATGCTATTCGAATGTTGACCAAGATCTTCGACATTTATGTTAATGATGGGGATAATGCTAAGATTATGATAATCTTACCCATATTCATTGTAGGATGTGATATATCCGATCCTTTCTATAGAAACTGGTTCATGGAAAATTTGGATAAACTTTACAGTGTGAAAAGACATGCCAAATATATGACCATGAAGAGACTTATTGAAAAAGTATGGGAAATCAATCGTGATGGGAATACTTGGGTTTCATGGCCAGATATAGCCGAAGATAATGGTTGGATCTTACCTTTATATGTATAGATTTATATATTCAAACAGATGTACAACAGTCTCTTTCGATTTCTTCAATCTTACTACAAACATCATGAGCTATCCCATAAGAATAAGCATATCCTTTACCATTAGTTCCATAAGCATGAACTAAATAACGATGTCCCACCTTCTGTTTTTCTAATCTGAAAGTTCCTTTTCTACCGGGTCTAATGGCTACTATGATACCAGCTATCTCTGGATCTTCTGATACAATATCAGGAGCCAATTCATGAGCTCTGCGAATCTCGTCTTTAACTATAGATTCATCAACTTCACTATGAGTTTGATCAGGTTGATTGACTCCTCCTAAAACCACCACTCCTGACATTGGACGAGGAATGATATAAGTATATTCCTTCCCTGCTCTTCTTACAGCATAATCAGTTCTTGTTTTGATCAAGACATTCTGTCCTCTATTAGGATAACTATCAGGATCAAAGATCCCTTTAATGTATTTAGGACCCACACCTGAAGCATTGACAAATATCATTGAGTCTCCAAACTCATCATATAACTCTTGAATATCTTTAATCTCTTTACGGATGAATTGACCTCCTAAAGATTCAATTTGGTTCTTCAAAAAAGGTAAATAACGAGGAGGTTCAATTACTACCGAATCAAATTCACAACCAAAAGCATAATTTCCAGAATAATGACTTTCTAATTCTTCATAATTGGAATTGACGGCTCTAAACCATAAATCATCATCACTAGGATATTCATCAAAATATTCCTGAACTCTAACTTTACAAACTCCACAAGTTTTATCCATCTTATAGTCATTCATAAACCTTCTATAACTTACGGTTTGTAAATATTTATAATTAGCAGATAAATCTCTGGCTCCATGCCATAAAGCTCCAGCCCAATTAGAAGCATACCAAATATCTTCATCTCCAGGTAAATGTTTTGCAACCAATTTAACATTAAAACCTTTTTCCAATAATGTACGAGCAATTGTACAACCTATAATCCCAGCACCTAGGATTATGATATCTTTATCATGGAATGCCATGTTTTGAGATTTTCAGGGGGAGGTTGGCAAAGTTGATCTAGTTACCGCATTGTCATAACCTAATTGAGTAGGCGATAAGAAATTATCAATTTGGAAATAATGCGCTTAATTAGGATTTGACATATTTAGTTTCAGTTTCAGAAATTGTGAAAACCACTAAAATTATGAAACCCACTAAAATTGTGAAAACCACCAAAAAACCCAAAATAATTTGAAATAAAAGAAAAAATTAAAACATAGAATAATATGATTGGTGGGTTAATGAGGTTTATAGACTTGTCTAGAATCGATTTCATCAATGTTGCAGGTGTTGGACATGTAAAATAAGAAGATAGGGGAAGCCTTGATTTAATTACCCCGATAAGTATCTCCAATAACCCGGGCAATAACCTGTTGGGGCAATCCACCCCTAAGGCAGTTTAATGAAATACTTATCAAACAACATCTCCCCCGTCTCCCCACCACTTGGAAGGCTGAATACATGTGGTTGACCGATAGGTATTCCGAACTTTACGGTATGAGGCCCTTCTCCAGAAAATACGTGAGACATTTAGGAAGAAACGGCTAAATTGAGAAAAGCAATATCCCCGATACTCAATTTATTTCTATCAAAATCCCACTTAAATTGATTCTGAAAATTCCTCTACATTCTCCCATCCCCTATAAAAGACATATTAAATTCTTAAATCCATGCCATTACTCTAACCTCTTCAAATATCCAACGGGTTTGAAAACCTTCCATGGAAGTGTCGCCGATTTCAAATTCCCCCACGACATTATTATGAGAAATTGTATTTGTAATCAATATCAAAAAGAGAGCGTCACCCATTAAAGTTTTCCATCTGTTAAAAAATTCAACTTCAGTAACTAATACTTTATAATGACTGACGTTAAAAGACATTACCATGATTTAATTGGAACGCCTGAACCTGATGATAACAAGAAGTTACATACCAAACCAGGTAGAAAACCCATTGAAACCGAACCTAAATCTAAAAGAACTGCTCAGAATAGAGCTGCTCAAAGAGCTTACAGAGAACGTAAAGAGAAGAAAATGAAAGATTTAGAAGATAAGGTTAAAGATTTAGAAGATGAAAATGTTCGTATCAACACCGAATCAGATTTCTTAAAAGCTCAAGTTGATATGTTAAAGAATGAATTAACTAAATATAGGGGAGGTAATTTTGATTTCAGTAGTATTAAATTACCTTCAAAAGTTGGAGCTTTAAGTAAAAATTCATCAAGTAATTTACTTCATTCAAGTAGTTCATCGAATTTAACTAGTGAAAGTGATTCCAGTAGTTCAGTTAATAATTCAAGTCCTGAAACTGATATAAGTTCAAATAATTTAAGAACTGAATTCCCTTGGAGTTATAAGAATTTAGCTAGTGATGTTAATGTTAAAGATAAATTACCTGAATTAACTAGTGGATCATCATCTTCAGAAAGTCCATTAAATGATAATATATTAATGGATAGTTCAAGTAAATTTGATGAACAAGTTGATCCTTTCTGTAATGAATTAAATTCTGCTTGTGGAAGAAAAGATAATTTAATGGCTCAATATCAAAAGAAATCCGATAATGATGATTCAATTTTTGGTAAATATTTTAATGACAAACCTAGTACTGATGGATTAATGAATGAAAATTTCTTTGGTGATCAAAATTTTAATTTTAACTTAAGTCCTAATGATAATGATCCTTTATCATTTTTAAATGATAATAATTTCGATGTTAATTTAGCATTTGATGAAAACAAATCAGAAAATATTAGCCCTATTGATAATCTTATCAATGAAGAATCAGCTTATGATCCATTAAAAGATCAAATTAATACCAATTTCAATTTTAATGATTTTATTAAATCTTCATTACCTTCAGAACCTTCAACTAATAGTTTTGATTCTAAATCTACTCCAAGTGTTATAAATGATGAAAAAGATGATAATGAAGTAGTACCGGCACCTGAAAAGACATATAAATGTTCAGAAATTTGGGATAGAATCACTAGTCATCCAAGATATACAGAAATTGATATCGATGGATTATGTGCAGAATTGAAAACTAAAGCAAAATGTAGTGAAAAGGGAGTAGTGATTAATGCTACTGATGTTAATGCTTTATTAGAAGCTTCTGCACAAAGAAGATAGGTTAGGGTTTTTGTAAATAAGGGTAATAAGATAGTGTCTTAAAGTTTCTCTCTTTTGATTAGACTTTGTTGAAGTTGTGACGAGTTCTCAACTGTTCTCAACTTGAAGTTCTACAACTTGAGGTTCTTTGGCCTAGGGTTCTTTGGCCTAGAGTTCTTTGACCTAGGGTTCTCTAACCTAGAGTCCTCTTCCCTGAAATTCTCTAACTTTGAGTTCTTTGACCTAGAGTTCTCTAACCTAGAGTCCTCTAACATAGAGTTCTCTAGACTTGTAGTTCTTTAAGCTAGAGTTCTCTTCCCTGAAATTCTCTAACCTAGAGTTCTCTTCCCTGAAATTCTCTAACCTAGAGGTTCTCTAACTTAGAAGTTCTTTGACCTAGAGGTTCTCTAGACCTGTAGTTCTATAACCTAGAGTTCTCTAAACTTGTAGTTCTATAACGAGTTCTCTCAACTTAGAGTTCAATAACTTGAAGTTCTCCAACTTGAGGTTCTCTGACCTATGGTTCTCTAGCCTAGAGTTCTCTAGCTTCGAGTTCTCCAGACTTCTCCAGACTTGTAGTTATTCAACCTAAAAGCTCTCTAACTTAGAATTCTCCAACTTGAGGTTCTGTAACCAGTTCTATAACGAGTTCTCTAACTTAGAGTTCTCTTGACCTCACACCATTTACTACCAATTTGGTACTAAAATCATGGTACCAAAATGGTTTAAAGTTACCGCGAAATTCACTTAAAGGTACCAACAGACCCTTCGCGAATTATGAACTTTTTCAATAAGAGTCCAGAGTTACCTCTTTATAAGGATAAACATTTAACACCGAAGAAATCTTCTAAGATAAAAATGTTATTCCAAGGTTTCATTGCCTCATTGATATTGTATTATATCTATTATCATTTTTCCACTCCTGCCACTAGTAATTGGGAACAAGCTAAAGATGAAGTAAGAACAGCTTTTCTTGAATCATGGCACACTTATGAAAAATTTGGTTGGGGAACAGATGTTTTCCATCCTAAGAAAGAACAAGGAGAAAATATGGGTCCTCAACCTTTAGGTTGGATGATTGTGGATTCAATTGATACATTAATGATCATGAAATGTGATGAAGAAGTTGAAAGAGCAAAAGAATGGATTCAAAAAGATTTAGATTATTCCTTTGATTATAATGTCAATGTATTTGAAACCACCATCAGAATGTTAGGAGGTTTATTATCAGCATTCCATTTATCTAATGAAGATATGTACCTCGATAAAGCGGTTGATTTAGCTAATGCTTTATTAGGAGGATTTGATTCAGAAACTGGATTACCTTATTCTTCAGTTAATTTAAAGACCGGGACAGGTATTCCAAATCATGTTGATAATGGAGCTTCTTCAACTGCAGAAATAGCTACTTTACAATTAGAATTCAAATATTTGAGTTTCTTAACAGGTGAAACTATGTATTGGGAGAAGGTCGAACGTATAATGAAACATTTAGAACTGATAACTCCAAGAAATGGGTTAGTACCTATTTATATCAAACCTGATACCGGGAAATATCAAGGTAATTTGATTCGTCTTGGATCAAGAGGTGATTCTTATTATGAATATTTATTGAAACAATATCTTCAAACAGGAGAATTCGTTTATTATGATATGTATAAAGAATCTTTGGATGGAGTTAAGAAGTATATGACAAAATATTCCAAACCTTCCGATTTATTGTTTGTTGGAGAATTAGAACAAGGACTTAGTGGACCTTTATCTAATAAAATGGACCATTTAGTTTGTTTCTATGGAGGTTTAGTTTCCTTAGGAGCCACTGGAGGTTTAACCTTAAAAGAAGCCAAAGCTTTACCCTCATGGAATGAAGAAAAACAAAATGATTTCGATTATGGTGAAAAATTGACTTATTCTTGTTACAAGATGTATAAGGATACACCAACAGGATTATCTCCTGAAATTGTTGTTTGGAATACTGATGGTACTAAAGCTAAAGATTTCCATATCAAACCTCTTGATAAACATAATTTACAACGTCCAGAAACTGTAGAATCATTATTCTACCTTTACAGATTAACTGGAGATGAAAAATGGAGACAATATGGATATGAAATTTTTAAGAATTTTATCAAGTACAGTAAATATGTTAACAGTCAAGGAGATGTTTCATATGTTTCATTAGATGATATGGTAAGTATTCCACCTAAACAAAGAGATAATGTTGAAAGTTTCTGGTGGGCTGAAACTTTGAAATATTTATATTTATTATTTGATGATGATAATACCATCCCATTGGATAAATATGTATTCAATACTGAAGCTCATCCATTCCCAAGATTTGAAATGGGAGATTTGTTCAAGACAGGATTTGTTAGAACCAAACCATATTTGAAACCAAGACCTGCAGATGATAAACCTAAAGATATTAAACAAATTCCTAAAGCTCAACCTGTAAACAAACCCGTGGATGAAGAAGCTAAAGAAGAAATTAAAAAAGATCCTAGTATTGTTAAGGAAGAGAATAAGGAAGAAACCAAACAAAAATTAAATGATATATTGAAAGATCAATAATCCAATGAATTTCATGCTCGGAATATAATTTCAACCTTAAAAAAAGATATTTACTACCCATTTAACCCCTCTTTGATTGCTCTAAATCTCCCTGTAATGGTGCTAATCTCGGTTCACCCATAGGTTGCTGTGTGCCTCAGTTTTGAGATCCCAACGGTGCGAAAATTTTTAAATCCTTTACCTATGTCCAGTGAAGTATGTATAACAAATTTATATCTTAAATCATTCATTATCGTTATTTAACCAGATAAACTTCATTTATATGATATGGAGAATAGATTGGAGTTTTTCCGAGAAAGTTTCACCAATTTTTGATGATGTTATAGCCATGTTGGTGATTCTTGATTAGTTATTACGTCATGTTCCCATAATATCAACAATACGTCTATTGATGTAATATAGATGTAACAGATATCCATGAATCTTCATATCACTTTATGATAATGATAGCTTAACTAACATTATACTAACATCATAGTCAAAGACAACGTTCGATTTAGAACCTAACCCTTTTGAGAAATCATTTGCCAATGATGATGTCAAAGAAGATAAGAACAAACATAATTTACACATACCTTTATCGAGTTTGAATAACATGTCATCCAAATTACCCGGTATAACACCTCCTTTGTTGACACCTGGTGGGAGAAGATTACCTCCTATAAGTTATAGTCCCGGAAATGTGTCAACACCTGGTGGTACATTATGGAATAGTCTTTTGAATGCCACTAATGAAAGATCAGGTCCTAGTAATGCCAATGGATCAACTCAACCTTCAAATACACAAAATGCCAATCAATCCACCCTGAATGGTCAAAATCAAGATTATTTCTTAAGTAGGAAATCTGGATTAACACCTAATGAATCTAATGTCAGAACTGGACTCACACCAGGATCTCAAGGATTCCCTTTTAATAATCATCTAGTGAATTTGACTCCTGGGATCTTAAATAGTCCTATGACACCAGGATTATCGTCATTATTAGGAATATCACAGAATCCGGTATTGACTCCTCAATTACAACAACAATTAGCCCATCAACCTCCTCAAGTTCAACAACAAGTGCAACAACAAGTTCAGCAGCAAGTTCAACAGCAAGTTCAACAACAGGTACAACAACTTGCAGCACAAAATCAAGACCCTACTCAAATAGCACAACAATTATCACAACAGAAAATTCAACAACAAGTTCAACATCAAGTCCAACAACAAGTTCAACAACAATTACAACAAGCTGAACAAGCAAAATTACAAATGAAAAAAGATGAAAATAAAGAGAACGAACGGAAACGAAAAGTTTCATATTCAGAAGAACCCAAGAAGAAAAGTCGAGGTAAAAAGAAAGTTAAAGAGGAAGTTCCTGAAGAAAGACCCGAATCTCCTGAAAGTGATGATAAGAATTTAAATGATAATGAAAAGCGTAAACAATTCTTAGAGAGGAATAGATTAGCTGCTTCTAAATGTAGACAAAGAAAGAAAGAGAAAGTTGCTAAAATGGAAGATGAATTGAAATTCTATTCAAATGGTTATAGAGAATTATCACAACAAATGAAACAATTACGAGATCAATTAATGATAGTCAAAGATGTATTAGCTAATCATAAAACTTGTAATTTGTTAAATCAACAAGTAGGAGGATTTGAACAATTAAATAACATTATTCAACATTCAAGTTACATAACATCAATGACAGAAAAATCCGTAGGTCCAAGCTCATTACCAACAACTGTTCCTACAACGCTTAATCCTGGCCAACCAGTAAATTATCCCGTTCAAGATGTTCATCAAACTTCAGGAGCTAATTCTGCCACTACCATATCGAATGGTTATGACACGATTCCTGGATCTACTAATATATCAGCACATCCAAGTACTACAACTTTACAAGGAAATAATAATATGATGAATAATCAAGGTATACATCAACCTCAAGCTTCAGATGTAAGGGCTATACATAGCATGACCAATTTGGCATCTTTGAATCCAAATCTACATATGCAAGATATTAATGATGAAGGGTTCAATTTAAGGCCGGTGAATTCAATGATTGATCTTCATAATCAAGGAAATTTGGTGGATTTGCCCAATTAGTCTAATATACTTTATGCAGCTGTATTGTCTCTCCTTCAATTGTTTCCCACTTTTTCATCATCCGCACCACCCATATTCACCACTGAATCCCCAACAGCCTGGAACATTTCATAGTATCCGAGGAAGACAAGAACCTTACATTTTTGATATTGTGATTTTTCAACACTCGATCTGGGAGGAGTACTTCGAAAAACCTTCATATTTCCCCGTACGATAGAAGCATTACTCTGTTAACCGACCAATGATGATCAAACAGACGGGACCGACCTCGAAATGACTTTCATTTGATGAAAGTACGTGGACTTGAAGGGTCAAGGCTCTGAGAAAAGTTCAAAGTGATAATTTTACCTTATCACTTGGCTGCAAATTACCCCATGAGTCCGCCAGGATTATATCTGTTGAGTTACGTAATGATAACAGGTCAAACTGCCAGACAGAACTTAACGAGTCGAAAAATACTGAATCGATATTAAGGGCAATGGGCTGAATTTTTATGCAAACTTATGCATATCTCCGACATTCAGGTCCTAATACTGGTTCTTAAAACTCAGCTATCATTAGGATGTTAGTCCTAATACCTTTCGAATAACCACTTCCATGATGGGTATGTATGGATGGCATCCATGAACATCTCGGCACGTGATCAAAGTTGGAGACAGTTGGTGAGCATTGGCTGCAAAAATTATCCACAAATTCAAGTTCACAGATTTAATCATGCAACGAAATGTCGAACAAGCAGCCAATTGGGGCTTTTTTGCAATGGTCGGGGAAGAAGATGCGTGGTTGTCGGTTCTCAGAAGACAAATTCGGTTTATGCTTGCTGAAGATTCATCAATTTCAGAAGAAAAACAGAGATTTTTAAGAGAAACAGAAAGGATGGTCAGCGAAGTCCTCAACAACAATCAGCAATACACGGCTTTAACTGGAAGATTACAAAGGTTGGAAGATGAATT